CCGGAACCGATCTTGTGACCCCGTTCAGGGTCAAGTGAAACTCATCCTCCTCCAGCTCGATGCAACCGAACTGCGGATCGATCCCATGATTCCACCAATGATCCTCTCAACACAGGAGACGCAGTCCTTGAGGAATCCTACTTCTGCTATGACACCACCAACCAGTTTTGTCCCTCCCCCATTGTAGAAGAGTTTGATCCGTTCTCCAATCTCGCAGGCCTTGGCTCCTTTCCAGCGCGTTCCCTCAAGTAGGAATTTGATATGTCTGCGCCTCTTGAGATTTCCCGGTAGATTTCCCGGCGCGACATCTAATTCTTTTTGTTGTGACGATATCTCTGCCGGCCAGCATGTCAACCTGAGCCTGACCCTTTCAACGTCACCATTTTTGTAATTTTTGCAAGAAATGTTTTGAGCTTCGGCCGAGATCGAACCCGCGGCACAGAGTGCAGGCATGACGCTCTTAATCACTCAGCTATCCCTGCCTCACTCTTCAGTGATGAGAGGTTCCACCGATCGTCTGGACGTTTCATTGCGCATTCAAAACCGTATGTTGATTATCATTCGTAACGCCGTTGGTAGTCATTATCAACCATGATTATCTACGATACAATCATCCTGACTCTATTATGCGAATCACAATGCTTAGGGTCGGTGGTATACCGTTTCGGCTTTGTTTGGCGGTTATGGAGGGTTACGTGACATCTTGAACGTTTGTGCGTCCTCCTGTTGCGAAACTCTGTGACGGAGACGAATGGAGGGCAAGCGGTTGCCAAAGCATCGAAACGTGCAAAAAAACGTATAATGAGCCAGGAATACGAAAATTTTTCAAGGGAGGTCACAACGGCCAATAGAGCGTGCCATGCCGGCACGACGAGAGTTGCGGAGAAAAAGAAGATCGACGCGGAGAAAAAGAAGGATCGACGCGGTTTAGAAGGGAATGAAGTTCAAGTTGTGCGCTTACTTCCCAGTCGCTGGATCGCGTGGCCCAATATTCCTAGCATTTGTTGAGCCAGACACAACGCGGAGAGAAGCCAATCGACGAATGAGCACGCGACGGAAATCGACGCGCCGCAGCCTATGGGATTGGGTCGCTGGATCGAATACCGCTTACATGCACCCCATTGTGCAACGCCCTGTTTCGGACCGCTTTCGCTTTGCCAGTTCGTGACGTTTGGCGTAAAGCTTACACCATAGATGTTTGTGTCGTCCTTATAAATGCTCCCTTCATATCAAGTGGATCGGGGGGGGGGTGTTGGATAGGCCGACACCGTGCCTGTGGAAAAGTGAAACAGTTTTTCCGCCTAATATGTTGATATCATATCGGGGGTATATAAACCCCACTGTGTGGTTGAGTTCATTCGTCTAATAAATATTCTTCTACTGCCGATTCTGCCTACTACATCCGGATTCAACAACTGGCGATCAGTATCAAGGACTCATGGACAAGCTGGCAGATATTCTCGCTCTAATGGAACGCCGGATGGAACGTCAGGACAAGACCATCGAGCTCATGCAGCAACAGCACAAAGAGACCGCCGATTCTTTCCTGCGCATGATGGAGAAGATGGAACAGCGATTGGTTGAGGCGTGCCCAGCAACTGCAAAACACAGCATCTTCGACTCCATGTGCCGACGAATCGACAAGTTCAATTTCGATGCGGAGAATGGTAAGACCTTTGACGTATGGTTCAAGCGATTTAAAGATGTGTTTGACAACGACTGTACTGAGCTAAGCGAGCAAGAGAGGACCCGTCTCCTAGTCAGCCGACTGGATGAAGACTGCCACCAGCTGTTCTGTGGCTCCATTGCACCTAAGTCGCCGTCGGACCTGTCATGGGAAGAAGCGGTTTCGGCCATGGATCGTCTATTCGGATCTGCCAAAAACGCTGGTTTCGTCCGCAACGATTTGAGTGCTTCAGATACAGTACCGATCACCAAGACTTCAACAACTACGAAACACTGGTGCGGACGCGATGTTCTGATGCCAAATTCGACGCCATCGATTTCGACGGTCTACAATGCCTGTTTTATGTGGCCGGATTTCAAGGAGCAGAATTTGCCGACTACAGAACGCGCCTTCTAAGAAAGTTGGATCAAGGTGACAACATCTCGATCAAGGACCTTACCGGTGAGTGCCAGCTGATTAAATCTTATAAAGAAGACGCCAAAATGCTGGAAAATGCCTCCGGTGCTGGCACTAGAGTCAACGTAACACCAGAAGGAGGAAAAGAAGAAATTTCAAGCCGAAGCAGATGCGGAAGAATAAGGACGACACTACTGCGTTTCCTCACCCACCACGATCTGGAAATCAGGAATCAAGGTCGCCGTCACGTTCTCAGACCAGACGTCGCGGTGCAAGGAGCTACCAGATCAGGAGCATTGAGGCCGCTCTACGCAAGAACGCTCAGCCACACCTACAAGTCGAAGTGAATGGACGTTCTCTGAACCTTCTACTCGATACTGGCGCCATGATCACTCTGATCTCAAGGTCGAGCTGGAGGAAAATCGGAAGGCCACACCTAGAGAAATACAACGCAATCGTAAACGCCGCCAATGGTACGAGGATCCCAACAAGTGGACGCGTCATGGTGGATTTTGCGTTGAAGAGTTCCGATGGAAGGCAGCATCACGAACAAGGATTCTGCTACGTCACCGAAGATCTCGACTTATTCGGTTGGGAGTGGATCCAGAAGATCCCAGATTTGGTGAAACCACTGCAGAAGTACATCAATGGTGTGACTATCCTTGCTGATCCTGCCGCCGCCTGCCGAGACGAGATCGTCGCCAAGTTGAAGACCGACTACGCCGATGTATTCAAAGATGGACTCGGACGATGTACGAAGACCAAGGCGACGCTCCAGTTGAAGCCCAATGCTCATCCAGTTTTTAAGAAGAAACGCCCCGTGCCGTACGCCTACATTACGGCTTTGGACGCAGAGATCGATCGCCTGCTCGAAGAAGGAGTGCTCTCTGCCGTCAACTATTCTGCCTGGGCAGCACCTATTGTCGTCGTGAAGAAAACAAATGGAACGCTACGACTCTGTGCTGATTTTTCAACCGGATTAAACGATGCCCTAATGCTACACCAGCATCCACTGCCCACTGCAGACGACGTATTCACCAAATTAAATGGCGGCACGACTTTCACGCAGATAGACTTCGCGGACGCTTATCTCCAAATCGAAGTCGACGACGAGGCGAAGGAGATTTTGACAATTAATACGCACAGAGGACTTTTCCGTTACAACCGCCTCCCGTTTGGTATCAAATCTGCGCCCGGCATCTTCCAGCAAGTCATTGATTCCATGATTTGCGGACTTCAAGGCTGCGCTGCATACCTCGACGACGTTATCGTCACCGGCCGCACTATCGAGGAGCACGTCGCCAACCGTTTGGGGGAAAAGCCCTCTTCGAAAGGATATCCGATTATGGCTTCCGCGTCCGAATCGAGAAATGTAACTTCCTGATGCCACAACTCCGATACCTGGGAAACGTTATCGATTCAACCGGACGCCGACCCGATCCCGCCAAGATCGAGGCTATCCGCAAGATGCCACAGCCCACGGACATTGCCCAGGTGCGATCGTTCTTGGGAATGCTCAATTACTACGGCCACTTCGTCAGCGAGATGCGACAACTTCGTGCACCGTTGGATGCTCTTCTGAAGAAGGATGCGTCGTTCAAATGGTCTGCCGAGTGCCAAGATGCCTTCCAACGCGCCAAGGATGTGCTAGCCTCGGACCTACTGCTCACCCACTACGATCCCACAAAGGAGATCGTCATCGCGGCCGACGCATCGGAGTACGGGATAGGAGCAGTGATCAGTCACCGCTTCTCGGATGGAACAGAGAAAGCGATACACCATGCTTCGCCGTTCCTGTACAGCCTCCGAGAAGGAACTACGGTCAGTCGAGAAAAGGAAGCCGCTCGCCATTACGGTTCCTCTGCGAAGTTCCACCGCTACATCCTCGGACGTCACTTCAAGCTGTTAACCGACCACAAGCCACTCCTAGCCATCTTTGGGAGCAAGAAAGGAGTGCCTGTCTACACGGCGAATCGACTGCAACGCTGGGCCCTCATAGTGAAGAGCTACGACTTCAGTATTGAGTACAGAAGCAGCACCAGTTTCGGACAAGCAGACGTCTTATCGCGCCTCATCGCTGAGCAATCTACAACCCAAGAAGACCAAGTCATTGCAGCGATCGAGATGGATGCGACGACTATTTTCGCCAACGCAACGACGAAACTGCCAGTCGACGCTGAAACAGTAGCAGAAGAAACCAAGAAGGATCCCGATCTGAAGAATATTTTCGAGTGGATCAGAGATGGAAAGTGGCCAAGGAAGTCGGATGTCGCAACCCGATTCAACTCCCTAAGAAGATCCCTTTCGACACAAAATGGATGTCTACTTTTTGGAGATCGCCTCGTCATTCCCGCAACCTTACGAAATGCCGTACTATGCGAACTTCACGATGGGCACCCAGGAATGACACGGATGAAGATGCTCGCCAGGAATTTCGTGTACTGGATGAACATCAACAACGACATCGAAGACTTCGTCAGATCTTGTCGCCGCTGCCAGGAAACTGCGAAGAGCCCTATCAAAGCAACCCTCTGCTCATGGCCAATGGAGGAGAAACCGTGGGATCGCATACACAGCACGTATTTCGCTGGACCGATGGAGGGGAAGATGTACCTCATCATCGTTGATGCCTTCTCAAAGTGGCCGGAGATCGTCGAAATGGCATCTACGACAACGAGCAGCACGATCAGAGAATTGCGTCGACTCTTCGCCCAATTCGGAAATCCACAAACGCTAGTGACGGACAACGGACCTCAATTTACTTCCAACGACTTCAGCGAGTTCTGCAAGAAGAACGGTATAAGACACATCAAGTCACCTCCGTTCCACCCGCAGTCTAACGGCCAGGCAGAACGCTCGTTAGATACTTTTAAAAGAGTTTCCGACAGATGAAGGAAACCCACTACTGCGTCGCCCGAGTGAAGCACTACAAAACTTTCTACTGAAAACTAAACCGCGCCCCCGAAAACCCGACCCCCTTGCCCTTCGACGCCAGGAGGACAATCACCAGCTGAAGCGTTTCTCGGAAGAGAGATCCGGACAAAACTCAGCCTCCTGAGGCCGTCCGCCACTCGGAAAGAAGTGATGCAAAACAAGAAGATGGAAGACCAATACAATCGCCACCATGGAGCACGGCAGAAGGAGTTTAACGTGGGTGATTCAATCTGGACAATGGATTATCGTTCTGGAACACCACGACAGATGCCCGGTCATATACAGCAAAGACATGGCAACAGGCTCTATGATGTCTCAGTAGATGGACAAATATGGAGACGGCACGCTAACCAATTGCGTCCTCGTTTCATCAAATTTCCATGTACTACAGAGCCAGACATCGAACTTTCCGAACTGCCGTTGCTTCCATGCTCGACGCCACCAACTACCACTACAGCCGCCACCAACCTGCAGACCACACCAACGATCGACACCTCTACATGCACGACAAATGATGCCTCAAGAGAAAAGCAGCAAGAGTAGCCGTGCCAGCACCGCAACGATTGGTTATCGACCCGAGGAAGAAGACGTACACCTAGAGTGTCCATCTTAGGGGGGAGGTGTTGGATAGGCCGACACCGTGCCTGTGGAAAAGTGAAACAGTTTTTCCGCCTAAATGTTGATATCATATCGGGGGTATATAAACCCCACTGTGTGGTTGAGTTCATTCGTTTAATAAATTTCCTTCTACTGCGATTCTGCCTACTACATCCGGATTCAACACGCCCTACGGTAGAGGAAAATCGTGGGAGGGGGGGGGGCGCAGAAACCGACCAGTCATAGCACTTCCAAGCAAATCAGTGTTTTGGGATCAGTCTTTCGCGATGATAGGAGTGCCATATCACTCTCACTACTTCCTTCAGGACACTCAAGGGTGGTTCAAAATGTGCTTTTGTCAGACCGGAGGTCTTGTTTAGGGCGTTCTCGACGTTCTTTTTACTTCCATCGCATAGGCTTTTGTTTCTGGGCCCCACTATTCACGAAATCGTGTCTTTAACACGCCATCAACCCCTACGGACAGTGAAGATGTGAGGTTCATGCTAGTGATCAGGTAGAGGCAGAACAGCCCGTGCTACTTGGTAAGAGCCCTATCCCTCCGTTGCTCTCCTCTAGACTATGCATCAGTACTCACAGCTGTTCTGAGTTTCGTTTTCATAGTGGTTATTTTCAATTGAATCAGTCTTTTCTTGTGCCGATGAGTTGAGAGTGACATTCTGGAACAGGTGAAATCCAGCGATTCAATAGAGAATTCACAAAGAAGTCCTTACGTCTCTTTCACAGGTGAGACTAATTATGCTGAACAGCAAGTAGAGTGGAAGAGCCAACTGCATGCTCCATGGACGAAAGAAGAATGATTTCGACCCTACTCTGCATTCGCTTATATGTCGACAATGTGCTTACCACCACGACACCAACAGTGCTCTTATCCTGCATTCTCACAGATAAGAGTACGGGCACTCAAGAGTACGGTCGACCGCAGTTCGTTAGGTTCTGAACTAGTTGAAGATAGTTAGGGGAAATATTTGCGAAGTAAGATGTCAAGCAGGTGCTAATGCAGCCTTCTTCTTGCAAATGATGGGGCGTGTCCGGAGGGATGTTTTTGGCGAGGCGCCAAACCGGTTTTCTCCTAGTACTCGAAGCGAGCGAGAGAAGAGTTCTATCACAGTATTCGTATAAGTCGTTTTCCACCAACTGTTGTGGCTTACCAGCCTCAACAATTGGTAGAGAAAGAGCTGGCGGCGCGCCAGATCCAGCTTCACTGACACGTCCCATCGACTGCAGCGATCAATACTGTAACTTATG